TCTAGTCAAATAAGGGACTCCTAAGCATAGACCACTTTTCTACACAGTACTAAACGAGAACACCGCATCTGCATGTATGTACAATTCTCAGCAAAAACATCGTATCTGCTTTTTCAGATTGAAAAACATATTTTTTTGAATTGTTATCCGGTTTAATCGATTTCAAAACGTTTTTGACATATACGGGTGTCCCATTTTAATCTTTATTTGGAAATTTCTCGAAATGTATGCATCTGACAAAAAAAATTGCCGAATAAAAGTTGTATGGTTTCGAGGGGGACGTCTGGTTATAAAACAAGATTCACCCCCTGACCCCCAGGGGAGTGGGAAATGGAGGTAACATTGAAATCTTTAATGGAAACCCCTATTTTTTATTGCAGATTCTGGAAGAGCATTAAAAACTATGAAGCTTTCATTCGGGAACTTCTTTTTTATTTTCACAAGATGGCGCTGCGATCGTAAAAAACAATATTTTACTATTTACACATTTCAACCCCCTGAAGACGAGGAAGAGTGTAGGGTGTGATATTTTCCCAGACAAACGCCATAGGGATGATATTCACACGACAAATTAACGCTAAACGAACTTACTTACCTTGACACCTCCACATAGAACGACGTCGATATTCGCGCTCAGCATCTTGGTAATTACCATCCGCACGTTCGACACACATAATTATATTTATGCACCAGCGGGCCGTAAAGTGCACTTTACCGCCCGGTTTTGCGGGCGTTAAGTTGCACTTTACCGCCCGCGGGCTCATTATGGCCCACGGGCCGTAAAGTACACTTTACCGCCCGCTGTTTTCAGTCACCTTATATCCACATATCAATTTATGAAAAACCTATGATCATATTCCTATATTCTGATATATCCAGCGGTATATCATAAACTTCTTCTTCATCCGATTAATTCCATATAGTCTCGCTATTATTACTATCACTAATTTTACTTTTCAATCAAAGAATCAAAGAATGGCAATTCAGCTCGTTTATTGGATGTATTGCTATAGACAACATCCATCAGATTGATTGACAACGTCAAAATAAGTTAGGTTTATATACTGGGTATGCATATTGTAAAATTCTGAAGAATGAATCCCTTCTTGAGCTGAAAGAGTTTTACTATCACGATAATTGCAATATTCGAACGATAATTTTCATATGTAAATCATCCATGAACATTACGCTTTTCTTGATTACTGAATTTATACGTAACAAATTAAATTCTGGGGAATATTAGTTTATCGAAATCTATAGTCATTACTTATGAGTCAGAAAATAAACCACTAGTGCATAAAATTTTGTATGTATCTCGTGCGTGAAATGCGTTTATGGCCTTAAGCGTGTAATGGCCTTCGGCTACCGCCATCGGGCCATTATTCACGCCACAGGCCATAAACGCCTACTTTACGCCCTTGATACATAAATAACTATTACAATCTCGTTCAGTAAATAATGAGACATCGCGAGACAGTGACAGATTCAAATTGTTTTTACATGGTGTTGCCATACAATGAAAATTATCACTCACCGTGTGAATTTGCAATAAAAATATCACCCCAACGGCGTTTGTCTGGGAATTTCACACTCTACACTCTTCCTCGTCTTCAGAGTGTTGAAATGTGTTGATTCGAACTGCTTGATATCTTTTTAATGATAAAAAGTCACCCAACTACAAACTAAATAGTAAAATATCGTTTTTCAAGATCGCAGCGCCATCTTGTTGAAATAAAAAAGAAGTTCCCGAATAAAAGCTTCATAGTTTTTAATGCTCTTCCAGAATCTGCAATAAAAAATAGGGGTTTCCATTAAAGATTTCAATGTTACCTCCATTTCCCACTCCCCTGGGGGTCAGGGGGTGAAACTTGTTTTATAACCAGACGTCCCCCTCGAAACCATACAACTTTTATTCGGCAATTTTTTTTGTCAGATGCATACATTTCGAGAAATTTCCAAATAAAGATTAAAATGGGACACCCTACTGATCCGACCCAAAATGATACTCAAGTAAACGACAGTAAATTTCACTGTTTAATGCGTTTACTCCATTTTCGCTTTTTTGTAGATACGGAAGATACGGAGAAATAGTTTTTTTTTGACGCCAATTCCGCCATTTTGAAAAGGGGTTGAGAAATGTTCACACACGAAAAAATATACCTTGAATACAGCTATCAGAATCCCCTCTGCCCTGTAGATGACATAATGAAGGAAAAAAATCAATTCGAGTAAAACGTGGCGGCTATTCTATCATTACTTTTATTCATCTAAGACCTAAGTTACTATGATTCAGAATTGGTTGCATCTCTGTCAATTTAATGAGAAATCAACTCCACAACTTTGAGCTTCAATCAACTAAATCAGACTGTCTTGAAGTAATGCAACTATAATTAACTCTAATAATTTAGAGATATTTTATAATACTGTTGCAGATGACGAGAAAACTTTCATCAGTAGTATTAAGGATGTTACATTTGGGAAAATATGAGTTGTTCAATGCAATTTTCTCTTTATCTGTTTTATCACATATCAGGGATCGTATTTATTAATCTATACAGTGTGTCTCGGTGAATGTGGGAAATCTCTGAAGATTTAGATAGAACCTGGAAAAATAAGAACGTTCCAATGGATGTTTTTTCTGCAGACCCTGCTTACTGAGATGCCACTGGAATTTGGGTTTTCTTCATAATAATTCTTTTTCTCTTGGACTATTCCCAAACATCAAACAGTCCAAAGGAATACCAATTTATAAAAACAAAGGATCTTTCCAAGACATAAAAAATTACGGATTGATCTGTAAACAAAATCAGTTTTCTAAAAATTTTGAGTCAGCATATTGTCAACGGTTAACAAACTATATGGAATGTTTTAAATTACTCCCTGACATACAACATGGCATAAGACAAAAAAAGTCCACTACAACTGCTATCCATGATACACTTGAATTCCTGTATGAATCACTCAACGCTAAGGAAAATCCATTATGTCTATTTTATGATTTGAGTCGTGCTTTCGATACAATCGAACGCGATCTATTACTGCTAAAGTTAGAGACTGTGGGTGTACGCGGTGTACCTCTCGATTGGGCAATGTCCTACCTGTCTGACCGTACACAAATAGCAATGTATGATAATACTAAGTCAGGAATAGGGGAATTCAATTCAGGAGTACCGCAAGGGTCAATATTGGGACCCTTATCATCATTTTCACAACTGATATCAAAAATTATAATATATGCCGACGACACTAATATTTTGATGTACAATAGTAACATTGAACAACTAGTCACAAAGTAAGTAATGCAGCTTCTAGTCAGTTTCATGAATATTGTACTCTGAATGGTCTGGAATTGAATGTCACAAAAACATATTTCATGAGGTTCATACCAAGGAATGTCACACCTAACTATAATCTCTACTCGCATATCAATAACAAATCAATCAAGGCAACAGATAGCATTATTCTAGTATTCTAGAACAGGCCGTATCTGCGCTATGTAGATCATGAGAAGCTGTTGAGGTGTAAAGTAGCTTTTCGCACGGAACAAGAATCCGAGTTTTTGTGAAGCAGCTTTTGCGATGGATCTGACATGATTATCCCATGAAAGAGTGTTGCTGTTGGAAATACCGAGCATAGATATGGTGGGCTTGGTGGGGATGGTGGAGCCAGACATTACAATATCGGACATACTGAGTTCCGCCTTTCTAGAGAAAATGCAGGCTTGAGTTTTGGTGGCGTTGAATTCAACTAGGTTGTTGGTTCCCCAGGCTGTGATTTCAGCAAGATCTTCATTGACAGCATTGACCTGCCTGCGCCGTGAGTTCTTAGTTTCCTGGGAAGAAATGGTAATTCTGGAAGAGAACGCAGTATGGAGGGTACTATCATCTGCAAAGCTGTGGATGGGGCAAGTTGTTACTCCCAACAGATCATTGATATGAAGAAGGAATAATGTTGGTGCCAAAATTGATCCTTGTGGAACGCCGGAATTGATGCCAATGGTATCAGACGATACACCGTCCACCACCACGTGAAGCGATCTGCCTGAAAGAAAACTCGATAAGAGATGGCATAGCTGAGGTGGTGAGCCGTATGATGGTAGTTTGTGGAAAAGTCCTTCGTGCCAAACACTGTCGAATGCTTTCGATATGTCCAACGCGACAGCTAGATATTCCCCGTGTTTTTCTAATGAAGCTTGCTATACATGGGTGACGTAGGCAAGTAGATCTCCAGTAGATCTTCGGTGGCGAAAGCCGTATTGTCTATCATTGATGATTCCTGAGCACTCCAGATATTTGGTAAGCTCAATATTGATGGCTTTCTCCATCACTTTGGAGATTACTGATAACAGGGCAATGGGCCTGTAGTTGTTGGGCAGGTTCTTGTTCTCTTTTTTGGGGATTGGTTAGACTCTAGCTGTCTTCCAGCATGATGGAGAAATACCCGACCTGTACGAGACGGTAAACAACTTGCAGAGAATCGGTGTTAATTCTGGTGCACATTTTTTGAGGATAATGGGTGGAATTCCATCAGAACCGTTAGCCTTATTCGTTTTGAGACCAAGCAAAATTCGTCTGATAGTGCGTTGTTAGTCAGATACACTCTGTATATATAATATAGATGAAATTTTCACCAAATTGAAGAATCATAATATTCGTAGTTGAATAAAATAAGTTGATTGATGTTGAAAATATTATGGGCAGCTCACAAAATGAAAAAAAAACAAACAAAAATTCAATTATTTGGAGTGTGGAAAATAAGAGAGATCATGTCAATTAAATTCGCTGGAACATGGAACGAAACATTCTAGAATCGAACTAGTACCTAGTCCAGGAGGACCACTTCGTTTGTGCATCAGTTTATTTTGCAGCATTGCCAGATCAACTTCAAAACTGGCAAATTTTGTGAAATAAAATAAATATGCAATGCGACAATATGACTGTGATCATTTTCAACAGTAGGTATTTTCATAATCACTAAAACAAATAGCTAAGGCAACTTACCCAAATACAAGGTGGTCAGCGCCGCCATATTTGTTGGAACAGCGAATCGGCAGTGGCACAAAGTGTAGCGAGCGCAGAAGTATAGAAAAAAATAAAACAAATGGTGCATATAGAAATTAGCATAATACAAAACATACATTTTCAATTTGTATTCAGGGCATTTGGAAACAACGTATAGAAAAAAAAACCTGGAGATGGCCCAGCCAGAAGTTTTATAAAATCCTTTCAATTTTCCATTGGTATATTCGACTCTATGATGAGATGGACAATATTGTTCAAATACTCCTGTTTGAATTAGGGATTATTTTAACATACCCCATTGTGACAGTCAGGAGAATCAAACAAAAAAATTACAGGATTCCTTCCAATAAGTGAAGCAGGTGAACCTATACGATTAATTTGCTCCAAAAGAATTTGAAACAATCTCTTACAATTCTTCTAACGAACATGGATTAATTGTTTTCTATATACATTGTTTCCGAATCCCCTGTATATTATAAATTTCAATGGGCATAAATCGGTGATAATAGATATATATTTGAACCGAAGTGATTTTGAAAAACCCTGAGACTTTTTGATGAATGACTACTATTTGTTTCTTCACTGCAAAGTAGATGCCTTTATACAGAGACCGTCAGAAAGAGATACATGTGCAGCTTTATATAAACTGAACATTTTTCAGGAAATTTCATTGTGGTAATTTTGGAATAATTGCTAGCGAAAATAGATGCCGTATCTTTATTATACGGAGAAACAAAAAAGTAATTAGATGGAGAACCTTGATCATGAAAACATACTCTTCGTATTCTGCAATACTTTTTGATGAATATTCATGCAGCAATCAATGCCAAAATCTGAAAGTTTATCTACATGTCATAGTGTCCTAATACAAAATTTCTTCGAAGTTAGGTATGGTTTCCAATAATTGAGCTTTTTAAAATAATTCTTAATATATATCACGTGGACATTGGACAAGACAATTGAATATAACGAAAAATTCAAATTACAGTGTACTTCACTATTTTGAGCCATGTATTTTGAAAATATTTTCAATAGAACAGGAGGTTACACGATGGCAAGACAGCTCACAATGTACGTTTTTCAAATTGCAGTTAGTAGTAAAGAGAATTTAAACACTCGTATAGTATTTCTTGCATCCACCACAAAGAAAGATATTTCGAACAATTTATTTCTCTGATGTTTACGATTAGTTCTTCTCGATATTATATACTGGGCGTTACCTTCGAAATAATCAAGATAATATTGCCTAAACTTCTTGAAATTTGGCCGTTGAAGAAGATTCATTGGAGAGGTATCTAATAGGGAGAATAATACAGGGTATACCATATTAAAAACAATCCTGAGCCAGCTTGTATTCGTATATAACCTCTCAAACGATTATAATTATTTTTGAAATACGTGGCTCAAAAAACTGAAAATTACTGTCTTATCAAGTTTTCTCTAAATCTTATAGACTCTTGAAATTATGAGTATTTATTAAGTGAATACAGGTTCTCCCGACTGATTCTCGATATAAAGATAGTGTAAGCTCGTCGTGACATATACCCTGTATATTGTAGGTATAATATGCTGCAAACTTTCTGCAGGTCTACTGTATATGAAAAAAAAAAAGACTTTTCTGACACCTTCGATATGATGGCATATTCTATTTTCATCAATATGTGAATATTGTTTCCAGCATATTGATTTTGTGGAAGTATGTATTAAAATCAACTATTTGGAATCATTTGTTTGCAATTTCATCATATAGGACCTTCATCAGGTGAACCATATTTGATGAAATTTAGTTCCAACAAAGCAGTCAAGCTACTGATACTGGAAGTTAACAACCAAATTTTTCTAACTTGTCAATATAAAATGCGACATTTTTGTTCATTAATCTTTGTTAATGCCACTTCAAATAAATTGGAATGAAAACCTCAAGCGGTGTGGTTATTTCTCAAAAAATATAGATAAGCAAACATTTCCAGCAAATTCATATAGCCAAGCAGAAAAAAATCAACAGGACAAAAATATGTTTTTTAATTTGCAGGAACAAAACTCTCGAAATTATCAACAATGTTTCCATCTCACATCGTAGATTGGAAACTCCTATCACGCAGGCGGTATCAAATCTTCCATTCAATACAAACAGTTCTACACGGTGAAAATGAGAATATCTACTTGGGAGTATTCGTGGGATGCAGTCGAATGTGACCAATCAGTTAGATTTCTTCGATTTTTGTCGGGATTTCGAAAACGTTTATTTTATTCATTAATACTAATAACATAAAATTCTATACAGGATGATTCAAAATTCGATGTAGATATTTTGAGCACGTATTGTTGGGATCAAAATAAGACTTTTTATTTATATGAAAGCGTTCCGACATACGATCACCTCCGTATGTAAGCATTCAACCCATATTGCGTTCAAAAAAGATATCGTGACTTCCCATTTCCTTGAATTTACGAATTCTTTTTGAACATGAAATTCGGGCAAATAAAAGTGAGGACCCCATTCCAACTCACCCAAAACTAGGTTCACATAATTTTTGGGCTAGAACGCCATAAATCTACAAAGACAGGGAAAAGTCAATTCTCAGAAGATTGGATCCGTTATTTTAGTCACAATTTCAGTTAGTTTTTTTTTAAACCTTATTTACAGTGGCTATAACTCGGAGGAGGTGCAGTTTAGGACACGTGTATACATGAAGAAAGAGTCTTATTTCGATCTCAACAATAAGTACTCGAGATATTCACATCGAATTTCAAATTACCCTGTATAAAATAAGCACTAAAAAGGAACATAGGTGTATAAATAAAATGAAATAATGTGACATGTATTAAAAGTATTCGGAGAACGAAAAGACAGATTATTCTGGAAATTGAAATGCAAGAATAATCTAGCATCCCTCATGAATAATTCCGTCAATACAATATTTCCGTTTGTATCAGAAGCAAGTAGCAACTTGGTTTCTTCATGTGAAACACCCAGTGATTTTTTTCCTGAATCTTCGTTGATTTCAAATCGAATTTGTTCGAAAAATCTTGAGCAAAATGTAACTAAAATGATTTTCATTCATAAATATCTTCCCAAAATATCGAAAACTCCTGGAATGTTTCTCTTCCCCTTTGAGATCATACCTTCTGACTATTCCACAATATGAAAATACAAAAGTAATAGATTTCACGTTTCTTTTTGTTTAGTTTTCGAAATTGATTTATTTCTTGAAAACGGCGGTTTCAGATAAAGGTATAGGAAATCATCGAGGAAAATTGACGAGGTTTATCAATATATAATTGAGGAATGCAATAATATACAGGGTGGTTTATTAAACGAAATTGGACATCTCGTCACTTTTCTGAATCACAAATAATCTGATTTTTCACTACCCTGTATGTATAGGAATACAGATTTTTATGGACGATCTGAAGCTTTCTGGATCGACATTTTGGTCTCCTGAATATTTGCTTCTGAATGTTTTCTAATGTGAAAATATTGATATTCATTTTGAGATATATTTTGATGAAAGATTTCTGAAACCAACTATTATATCGAAAACGGCTCATGACAGGTACTTACAGAATCGATCCGTATATTCAAACAGATTCCACATTGGAGATAGAAAAAAAACTTCAGATACAGAAGTAAAGGGGTAAAGGGTTTGTTCTGAACCCCCAGAAAATTGTACGAGGTGAATCAAAAGAATTTTTTTAATGTTCTGGTTCCCACGAAAAGGATATCCTGTAATGTTCAGAGAACATCGTGGGAACCAAGGGAAATGAGGTAGGAATTGGTGTTATAATATCGCTGATATAAGAAGTACCACCTTCGTTATATTCAATGGAAAACCCTATATGTATTTCTTTATATAAATTGAAGATCTTTCTTTTCTGATTTCGAAAATATACTCACAGATTGTTAGTAACAACAACACATATGCAAAGAATACAGGGTATCAGAGAAACAGTCAGGTGAAATTCATGAAAATGTGCATTCTTATATTTTAGAATACGCTCTCTTCATTTAAAATATTTTCAGCAATGCAGTGTTGCCGCTTCTATTAAAAAATAGCAACAACTTTGTTATTTTGGATATAATACTCTGTATTTTATTGCATTTTCAGATTCTCCTAAAAGAGCTGATTTCATCGATGTATCACACTTGGGATCTATCGGAAATGATTGAAGAGATATAGGGTGTTCAAAATCGAGATTTTTCAACTTTAGGATTTGTTTGTGTCGAAACTATTCATTATCGGTCAAAACAGTTCACATGTCACTGTCTCAACTTTTGAATCACTATTTACTGATATTTATTCGGAACAGATACAGAGTGATCAGAATTCAGAATCTTGAACCACCCTGTATCTGTTCCGATTAAATATGAGTAGATAGTGAATCAGAAGTTGAGAAATCTCGATTCTATATCTCTGTGATTTTTTTCGATAGACCCCAAGTGTAATATATCGACGAAATCAGCTCTTCAGGGATACTCTGGAAATGCGATAAAATACAGGGTGTTTTTTTTTAAATATCAATGTTGCTACTACTTTCTAGTATAAGCGGCAACACTGCATTGTCGAAAATATTTTAATGGAAGAGAGCGTATTCTGAAATACAAGCATGTAATACATTTTCTTGAATTGTTCCCGACTGATTCTCTATATACAAAGATAGTGTAAGCTCGTCGTGACATACCCTGTATATGGAGTTCAATTAATGAAAAATTAATGACAACCTGCATGATTATGTGTTGTTGATTCTTCATGGCCATCACGATTTGGTAAAATGAAATAAACCAATTCTAAAATGTTCGACCTCGAATATTTCATAAAACGGCTGAACCGAATATCAACAACTATATCTTTGAAATCAGAACGAAAAATTTCATTTTTTCCGAGAGATATATAGGGCGTTCTATTGAAAATACCAAAGCTGTTACCCATTTCTGATATCAGCGATATTCATTTGTTTCATCGCGTACAATTTTCTGCAACTTTTGAATTTGAAGTTATTTTCTAT